TTATTGTACAGAAAAAGCATACACCAGTAGCTTACCTAATTTTAGAATGCATTTTTCTGTATGAATTCTGTAAAATAAATAAAATGCATAAAATTTGGAGGACCCCATTTGGATTTTTATTCAGTACCTTTAAGCTATCAATTAAATATGGTAGTTTCATAGTGTCATCGGATCAATAATTGTCATACTTAATGATTATGCAAGTACAGATCTATAATTTTATTATACTATTATTTTTGTTCTCATTTGAGGTTAATATTGCTTATAAACCTAGATATGTAAATAATAAATTTTATTATTTTACAAAAAGTTTGGCAACAATGTAAATTTTTCAACACACCCACCTTGATGACGTGCACGCCACTTTGTTTGGCGTTGACTATAGATCTCCGACGTCCCGCCGGTGCGAAAGGGTCCCGAGACTGTCTGTTAGAGAAGAGTCGTCGATCAGTCGGACCGCCCTCCTCTTGACAGCATCGAGCATAAAAAATGTATTCGGGGCGGCAGCACCCCAAACGTGTGAGCAATACTTGAGGCTAGGTCTTATCTGGGCCTTGTATAGAGTGAGAAGGTCAGGCGGAGAAAAGTACTTCTTAGCCCTAAACAAATAGCCTAGCTTTTTCCCAGCAGCTGTCGCTATTGACGAGATGTGTTCGTGCCAGATCAGGTCCTCGGTGGTCTGGACTCCGACCAGCCGAAATGAACGGCTCTCTGGCAGAACCCGGCCATTCATCGAAACCGGATGAGCACTATGATGCTTTTTGTTCGTCGAGGTACAATACTGTGTTTTGGAAGCATTAAACTGTACAAGACTGTTGTGTCCCCAATCAGTGATAACCTGCAGGTCTCTTGTCAGAGAAATAGTCGCTACTAGTCTTTTTTTTAAGCTCACCGGCAGAGATCGGCTTGTCGGTCTGAATTCCTGCATGTAAGATTGTGGCATCAGCAAAGCTATGGATTGAGTTGATCGTACAGGAAAGTAGGTCGTTGATATTTAAGAGGAACAGTGTCACCCATCTGCAAAGCTTTTCTGGTTGGCCAAAGGATGGACGATTGCACAAGATGGTAGCGTGCCACAGCTGTTCAAACGATTTCGTGATATCAAGAGCAACGACATGAGCCTCGCCATGAGTTTACTCCCCAATTACGTGACGTAAGCTAGGAGGATCGCTGGTGCCAGAAACTTTACTGCCTGTCGTTAATCAAGCTATGACGTTCGAGGTAGTCCAGAAGCTCGCGCTTTATGGACCTCTCCATCACCTTACTTATAGCAGAAAGCAGCACTGTAGTTGTAAGGGTCGGTCTTAGATCCTTTTTTGGATGGGTTGGGCATGAGCAAAGTTCCTGTTTTCTGGAAAGGTGCCGGATTCATAAGATATCTGGAAGAGATGTGAAATAACTGAAACAAGCTCCGCTCAACACCTCTTCAGTACAATGGCAGGAATCAAGTCCGGACCAGAAGTTTCCTTGATGTCAAGCGACAAGAGCATCTGTCCCTTTGAATCGACGGTTCTTGCGTGTTTGGAGGGGACGACCATGGTGGAGTTGGCAGCAAAGATCTTGGCAAGCTCTTCCGCCTTGGCCTTTGTGTCGGATACAAACGTTCCATCCTGAAACGTAAGTGGTGGAAGGCTACTGTGTGTTCTTTTCAATCTGCTTGGCCAGCGTCCAGAAAGACCGACTGCCGTTGCGCTGCGACAATACCCTGTGCCTAACTTTTATATCGTGCTGGTTTTTGGCATTGCGAACCGCTTAGTTATATTTGTTTCTGGATTCGACGTCGGCTTATCTATTCTCTACAGTGGGGTTTTGTAAGAAGGTTCTGTGTGCCTTGATCTTCTGCTGACGAGCAGAGTCAGACGATTTGTTAAACCAGCCGTTGAACCCTGGTTTAGGCACTTTCCAATTTTTTTTTCTTCAATACAACGGCAGAAATCAAGTCCGGATCAGAAGCTTTGTTGACGTCGACTGAATTGATCATATATTCTTAGAATGTGTGAAAATCTTAAGAAGCACATTCTTTGAGTATAGTTTCATTAGATATGCTATAGGACGTCGCCAAATCACCTAATGCGAATATTCTTAGAATGTGCTGCAGCACGTTCTTAGATTGTCTGCTCCTAATATGGGGTTTGTAATATACCTATATGCTTAGTACATTATATTGATGTGCGGTATGTTATTTACGCACGAGTTTAGAACGTGTTATTGCTATTAGAAGACATTTTTTTAATATTGATAGCAAGTGATTTTGTTTATTGGGAAGCTTAATACTTCTCCGAGTTCATTGTTTCATATTGCTGAAGAAACTGAAAGAATGGATTCCACCATCCCCACAGACCACGATTCCAAACTGGATTTCGGCACTGTTTTCTAACACTCTTGGGGCTCAATTCTTGAATTGAGGAAGTTGAATAAGTGATTACATTTAGCGTGGCTCTATTCCTTTTCACTGGGAGATGAGTCGCTGACCGGGTCATTCTCGAGAGACAAAGTGCGGCAGTCTCGCTGTCATACATCAGTCTCATTTTAAAAAATCGGAATTAACTTTGATATGATATGTGCAATTATATGAAGAACCTGTAAGAACATATTTTGCCAAAAGTTGACAAATTCACGAAACTGTTTGATGAACATCAGCATCCAGCAGAATTTGGGACCATTCCTCAGCAAGCATTTGATTTTTGCACTCAAGAATTGACCATCTGGGGTTCGCGCCACGACTTCCACCAAAGGACGCCCCCCCCCCTTGATTCCAAAGCCTTGTAATTGTTTTCATTAAAATGGGATAAATTGCGGTATGTTGCTGATAAAATTAACTTGCTAGATTTGAATCATAAAGACCCCCGCTAGCTGTATCCCATCCACAGCTTTTCAGCTGACACAAAAGGGCATGCGCTCTCAGAAGCACTGCTTAAGTATGCAGACGCAACCCGGGAGGGATTGAGGTCGCAAGAATATACAGGGTGATTCACAAGTCGTGACCAAAAGTGAAAGATTATATACAGGACCGCATTTTGAGGGAGGTCGTCTATGTAACATTTTTTCCTCGAGGGCTTCATTAAAAATATAATATTGAAGTTTAAGAATAAAAAAAAAATTTAATATCTTCAAAAATGTCAACTGGAGTGAACTAAAATTTGGTATGTGTATCTGCCTAAGTATTGTCCACATTCAAAAGTCTTTACAAAAAATTAACGGGCACCAATGGCGGAGATACAGGGGATTAATGGCATTATTTTTCCAAATAAAAATAGTACGCCACTGTTTTTTCGTGGCGCACAATTTTTAATTTTAACTTCAATCTGCTACAAATAATTACTCTTGTTTTTTTCCTAGAGTGGATTTTTTTCGTAAAAATAAAATACAAATTAGATAATCAAAGCTTTATTTCAATAAATGTTCAAAAAGACCACCATTCTGACGGATACAAGCAATACGTATTTCCGCAAAATTTGTTGTTACTTCAATTTGATGTAACGCATTATCTATTCTTTCTTGTAACTGATCAACAGTATTAATTTGTTCAGCATACGCTAGTTGACTAGTTGTTTAAAAGCGCCCCACAAAAGGAAATTCAGGGGGTTCAAATCAGGAGACCTTGCGGGCCAATGTACGGGTCCCTTTCTTCCAATCCATTGTTGTCTAAAATGATTATTTAACCATGCGGTTATGTCACGACGAACATGTAGTGAGGCACCGTCGTGCTGATACCACATTCGTACTCTCGTTGCTAACGGAACATCATCTAACATATTTTGTATTTAATTCAGTAGAAAAGCTAAGTATGCGTTTGCATTTAAAGGTTGTGGCAATACGTGCATAAACAGTTGGTCATTAAAAATGCCGCACCAGACATTTATAGAAAATCTGTGTAAAACTTCCCGACGTAAAATTCTTCACGCAAGACTTTGGAAACAAGGTAACTGGGCGGCAATCCGCCTAGTACTTGTACTAGGATCATTCAACGCCAAATTAATCACCTTCAGTTCCTCCTGAACAGTATGCCATACACCATGACCTCTTGCTCCGGGAAGTTTGGCAATTCCATAGTGCCGAAGTCTTAGAAATAAGCGAGTAAAAACCTTTGGGGTAGGTTGGTGTCTGTTAGGAAATCTACATTGATACTCCCTAGAAGCCGCTAAAGCATTTCCATTACAGAACCCGTACACAAAAATAATATCAGCGTATTCATCATTGCTAAATTCCATTTCACAACACTCAAAATTGAAAAAAAGAAACTTTTGACTAGTCTTTTAAAAAAAATGGTAGTAGTAACGAGAACAGTCGTATAACACATAACTTTGACAAACCATCTCCCAAGAAACTTCAAGTTGGTATCAAGGACTCCTATTTTATTTTGGAACTAATTGTTCTCGGCTCTTCATGAATGATCTAATTGATTTTGTTTTCACGAAAACAGTGCACTCTAGGAAAAAGATAAAAGCTGAGCGATATGCTCAGATGAATTACATTGTCATTGCTTCTTTTTTTAATTGTTTTTTTTATTTTCTTCAGATACGTAGATATATTTGCGGATTCAAAGTTTGTCCTGTAAATGGAATGAATTTCTGTGTTGGGAATAAAGCATTATTAGTAGTATTACTATTGTTCCTAATATGGATGAGATATGTCGACCTGTCTCTGAAACTTTAGGGCTCTGAGAAATTTCCATTCAGAAACAATTTAACGGGAAACAGAGACGCAAAAGCCGCATCCATGAAGTTATACGCAGTTAGTAGTAGCTATGTGTCACATCTGACACTTGTGATCTTGTGATTTAATGATTAAGGTTGCAAAAATAAATTTCAATTCGATTTTTATATAATTTTTTCCAAACTAAAATTTGCTTTCTCCAGTACTACCTCTCTTTCGAACAAGCATTCGATCTGGATGAAGTCCATACGCGAGGGGCAGCATGGTGCATACTTGTGTTATATCGAGTACTTGCAGAGTTTGAGTGTATGAAGGGAGAAATGGCAGGGGAATACACAACTAGATATATAAATTAAACCTTTTATTGAAAAACAATTACTCATAATGTGTATTTTAAGATAAAAACATAATTAATAAAAAACTTGCAATATATAAAAATATTAGATAATTTTTCCTCACAGCTAGAATCTTAGTACCAACTAAAACATATGTACATACACAAGTACCGCATGTAGCAGTAACCATTGTCAACTAAAACTTACTTCACATTTCGTAAAAATTAATTGACATTTTTGTAGAGATGTGAAAAGAACTATTCCAAAGAAGGCGAACATTGTTCCTGCCTAATTACAGCATCATCTACTACCCTCTCTAGTTCACTGGTTGATCAACGCAAGTTATATCTAACCTTAAATTCATTTTGCTGTGGAAAAGGATCTTAAAGGATTTTTATAATCGGCGCACGGTAAATGTTGTCAAAAAATTGTAAGAATAATCTTTTATTTATATTGTTTTATATATAGAATCTGATGTTTTTCACATTGTCTCCTTTTTTAACGAGATCAGTTCAAAATATCGAATATCATTTCTTCTATCACACGATAAATGAGTATGATCATTTCCAAATACATAGTTACCTTCTGCATCATTTTTTTTCATTGTATAATGCTGTTAAATAAAAACATGTAGCATATTCAGTTAAAAAAACTGTTGGTCTATGATACGTATGTGAACGTTAACTTCGATTTGATAAATTATCAAAAAAAGTTAGCACAAATTGATATTTCATTTTTGAAGCCATGCCAATCATGCTACTCATCACCGTGAATTCAATTCCATCCTATATTCAGATCACATTACATAATCCTTGTTAGATTACCCTTCTGTGTTTAAGCAAAAAAACGTATATAAAATCTTATAGCATTTCCCAACAAATTTCTTGAATTGTGCATTTTTCCGTGCAAAGATAATGTTGGAGGTAAATACACAAATTTTGCGTTTATGTCAACTGTTTAGTTAGACTATTTTATACAGAGTTATATCATTATATATTTTTAAATCAGTCACGGATTCACTTTATTCGACCTCTCTTGTAAATTCTATTACGAGGCCTTAATAGGTATGGCGCGTATCGCATCGCCAATGGCTGATATAGCCATGTATACAACAAATACTATGTATTTTTCATAAATCCACTAGTCGGAGGTGGAGGCAGATTGTCTTTAACCTGTAAAACAAAGGAGATTGTTAGAATATATTTTTGTAATTACAAACAAGCAACTGACAGTATTTCCAAGACTATATCAAAAAATTAATTTTACTATTGACCGACGGGAGTCAAAGATTGCGGCTTTGGCACAAATTGGACCAATGAGAAGGCGTCTTTGAAGTAACGCATCTAATGAATTTGGTCGATTTCTTGTAAAAAGACTCTAAACCTAGAAAAAAATTATACGATTTGTGTAAGATACTAACATACAAACATACTAATAGGTCAAATTGAATAAAATTTTGTTAAAAAAAATACATCATCTTTGAGCATGTGACACTGATAAGCGTAATTTTTGTTGAAGGATAAGCATTTTTGTTTCAATGGTTTTGAACCAACATGGAGACAAAACTATGACGTTATATAAGAGTAGTCGACTGAATGAATGCATTACCTGCAATGGCTCGGTGGGATCCATGCCCTGCTCAATGACCTCTTCCATTTTTTGGAATAACCTGGTGGATCGAAGAGAAGTAGGCGACGGAGGAGGGCGTTCGATTGTCATCGTCTGCGGGGGCAGTTGGCTGTCCGTCTGTATGCTCATCATCGTGTAGATTTCCTTCAACATCATCAGAATTGTGTCCTCCGACTCCCAGTAACATACGTGGCTTGTCAACGCGAAAATGTATTCGTTGATGAATTCGAATGGTGCCTCTTGCAACACGTAGTCTATCCGTCTGCCACTGTTCAGCTTACCGTGAGGAACTTCGTCTTGTTCTTGGGTTTTTTCTTCCATACCCTTCACCTAAAAAATATGAGTTGTAAAAACACAATAAACGATAGTTCTAAAATAACATAATTGCAGCCCATATACAAGGGTAGACCCAGGAGGGGCATGACTTCACCACTGGGCGAATCGAGATTGATCACTAATATTTTTTGTCATCCTCCCCCCTGGCTCTTCAATTGTCAGACGCACTGATCTGCCCCCCCTTCCGATGATCTTCAAATTTCAATCGCCGATGTAACCCCCCCTCGAGGCGAACATGCGGCCTCAATTGCGCCCCTCCCCCCTTAGTTGCTTCCAAAATTTACCGCTGTGATTAAGTGTCCCCCTGACCCAAAAGCTGTATCCGCCCTTGGTCGCACAATATTGATTTGACAATCTTCCATCTAGAACCTAGATGTGAGTCATAGCTTGGAAGGGAAATAATCCCAGCTAGTCGGAAGATTTGTCATTTCAGCTTGTGCCTTTTTACCCGACTGCCTTAGCGGGTGATGTTTATCGGATGTATGCACGAGGTCTATAAATGCAGTGATGGGACTGGCAACGTAGCATTCAATCTGTCAATACTGATGCTCCTGGCTTGGAGGGGAGACAGGGAAATTTGAAAACAGTTTTTTCTATTGTAATTCTAAAAATGTGTGACATCAATTTCAAGCAGTGGTTTTGCTCCAGACTTGGGCACACAGTTTTTTGCCAGTAAAACATTCCTGAGGCTCCTCAACCTCCTTATTCGCCTGACTTGAGTCTAATCAACTTTTTCTCTTCCAGAAGTTGAGGAGTGGAGAAACAGTCTCCAGCGCTGTGTGGCTTCAGAATGAAGTTATTTTGAGGGTGACAATGTAAAATTGTAATTATATTTTAATAAAAAAAAATTGAGAAAATCAGTCTCATCACTTAAATTACAGATCTCGTATGTATATGGACAAGAATAATTCTATTTCACGGGATGCAGTACAAATACAAACGGTTTAATGGATTTTGATATATGAAATTTTGTTAGATTCATCTTATCACGGGTATATTAAAATTTTATAGAATCAAAACGGCGGATTTTAATCGAAAATGTCAACTTCAGAATTTCTATTTTACGGTCTGCATCTTGCACGGCTTGATGTATGCTGACACATAAGATGTCTGTAGATTTTTAAACAATGCGAGTGCACAGAAATTTTAAACTCAAACGTCAACTATGAAATTTCTATTTCTCAGGCCACAACCGTAAAGACTGTAGATAAGATGTTAAGCTCTTGGAGTGGGGGTGAAGCCATAATTGTCGACGATGAGATGAGTTGGTACACTGCGCTGCAAACGAATTTCAGGATCTGCGCATAGGGCATCTCGCTGGTGGGTACACTGCGCAGAAAATGAATTTCAGGTGCTGCGCATCAACATTTTCCTCTGCTGCTGTCATCATGACTAAACAACTCCAATTTTGACACAACTGATAACTGCTATAGACTCGCAGTACTCGACTCTGGTAATAGATGACACTTTGTGCTCTTATTTCGATAGATCTCATACCTCGAATAAAGGATAGTTGTTATGCAGAGATCAAGCCTAGACCTTGCTGATGTGTTACCAAAAAAAAAAAGGAAACAGCTTCCTTGATTGACAGTCTATGGTCGGACGGATGATAACAGCATGTTTAGTAATTTTTTGCATTTGCCTAATGTTAAACGTTTGTTTTATACAGGCAATAAAACTTATACAGGGTGACTTCGAAGTTGAGTCATTTATTTTAACATTGAGTAGATATGATCAAAAGAAATGTTTTTTTCCTATAACATTTTCTGGTAAAATTAAAGTAACAAAGTTATAGCCCTTTAGAAGTTTGAGTACCGCCCTGTCTCAATAATAATATCATGTGCTCGTGTTTGGCAACAACGGATATAATCCGCCTTATCGGTTCATCGTGTCGGAAACAAAAAAGCGAAAGAATTTGAAACGCTTATCACGATGTTTTTATTCAGTTGTATTCAGTCAATGTGTCAGTCGGTAACGCGTGAGTGAATAGTGGTGTTTGTTGTGTCACTCAAACGAAATGAAAAATGGCACATGTTTACGAAAATGCTGAACTTGTGGACATGATTCTTATTTACTGGGGGGGAGGAGTCTTTACAAAATGCTGCCGCGGCATCACGGATTTATCCGGATCGGTTTCCCAATCGAGTGCAACCAACCCCTCGTGCCTTTGTTAATGTAGTACAAAGGGATCGTGAATCAGGTGACTTAAGACCTCACAGGAGAGGGCATGCCGGTGCTCCAAGACCGCACGATCAAATACAGGTTCGCACTGAAATACTTGTCGGGAGGATACTTTATAAAACGAGGTTACATTTTTTTTTAATTTTTTTTTTATTTTTACACACATATTTTGGTTTATCTTCCTTCTACAATCATTATCTGAAAATTAATGACTCAACTTCAAAGTCACCCTGTATATGTAGCTCATTTTTTCATTGATGTACAAAACTGTTTGTAGAATAGTAAGTACTATAATGCCTGCCTCTCTAATTTCTACAAGTCCCGCAAAATGTTCAGAAAATGAATGGGTCTTCTCTATTTGACTGAACTCACAATGAGAGGATCTTCCATTATTATTCTGCATAAATGACTGTTGCCCGTTGTAAGACAATACCGAGAGATCTTTAATTACAGTCGGCTTCAAACCACGATCTTCTAGGAAAGCAGGTTTGAATGACCTAATTTATCTTGACCCATTCTGGCAAAAATTTCAAACAACAGTCAAAATACATAACCACAGCTCAAATTCACTGACATAAATGCAGCGTTTTCGGATGGAAAATGTTCTTAGCCGGGAAGATACGAACCGAAGTAGGTGCATAAGAATTTTCTTGACTAATTTTCTTTCTTTTATTATAGACCCTTCTACGAGTCTACGCCAGTCGCTGCCCAAAATGTATATCCGTCTCTGTCAAGGGAAAAGGAGGGTTTTTCTTTCATGTTTACGGTATATTTCGCTTGGGGTAATTTCTTTTATGTTCCGTCCATCTATTTGTTTATTAGTGCAATAGTCAAACCATAAATATGTCAAACATACTGCTAGCGGTAAGGTTAGTGATGGAGCGCCACTTAATAGAGATGGGGCTGATTTTTTGTTCACCTGTTGTAACTGGATACATTTACCTTGGGTCGATGGTATATATATCTAATGTATGTATGACGCTGAAAATGAATCGACTAAATAATGTATGAAAACTTCTGCTACCCATCACGATGAAGTGCTGCTAGAATTACAGTGGTAGGATATGTAGAGAATAACAGCGATTTCAATAAGCCACATTTGTGGAGGATTTCACACTTGAGATAGAAAGGGCTGACAAGACAACACTCTCGAGCTTCCGCACGGGTATTATGTAAAAAATATATTAAACGTCAAAAAACCTATAAAATGAGCGTCCATCTCTGGAGGAATGACTCACCTACACGCATTGTTGGTTGCATATGTTTTGTAAATCCGAGTAGTCTGTAGTTTTCATCTCTGAGAAGAAAGTTGGTTGAATAGCAAGATCGCATCTTATGACCACTACGTGTATTGGCCTGCATGTGTATAAAATCAGTGCATGTGCTGTGTGAGAAAATCATTACGGAATATGATGCCAATGAAGTATATCTATTAGCTGTGCCCGACGGGTTACTTATATGATGTCCTTTCTGAAGACAGATAGATTATGTTCAAAGTTATAAATTACGATTTTTTACGTTTTTTGTGTTTTCAGTTGTCGAGGAGAATTACGGGAAATCACCACCGCACCCGCGTTGTGTGTAATTACGCTAAGCATGTATATGACTTACAATTCGACAGTGTACAGTGAATATAATTATTTCTTATCTCTCTCATTTTTGCAATCCAGCAAATTTGCATATGTAATTTCCAGAATGAATAAGAAAAAGTGGATGCGCGACTAATTTCTAGCTTTGAATCTCAAGTAAGTGTATTTGAGACGAGAATCCAATGGAATTCTCGTATCGTCAACACATATTATTAACACACAAATCCTCACTATGCACCTATGCATCGCCGTTTCCTTCTAGCTATAGTATACAACTTACATCTCTGAAGCAGATTTTACATCACATTAGAGCAAAACATTGATATCTGAAGCATTATGACGTCTAGGCATCACGTTCAATTACAAAACGAGTTCACAAGTATCCATCCGCTAGTTAACATCTTGTAGAAAACCTACATAATTTCACAAACAACCAATACAATGTCAAGAAAAATGTACATAATGTCACTTTTCAAGATACATAATACCCATGCCCTGCCCGAAAGTCGCTATAGAAGCTTTTCCCTGTCCAAAAAAGTGACTACTGCATCTACCCCTATTTCGATACGTGTTCTGTGATCTCGTCTTGATTGTTAAGCAGGTGTTTATGATATTCACCTTCTGGAAGAAATGTATGTGACCACTGCTTTTAGTATATGGAAAAAAGATGGACTTAAACCAAATCCAGACAAATGTATTTATACGAATCACCAAAAAGGCATTCATTACATGGGATTCTATAGTGACTGATATAGTCGTGAACTTACTTCCATTTGTTGGTCTATAACTTTTTGTACTTCGTCTTCTAATGATGGCTGTTGCTCAGGCTTATGGAACATGGTGTATTGAGAAAACGTATCCCAAGTACTCTTCAATGAGTCGATCACCTTTTGTTTCAAATCTGCGCCGACTCGAGCCATAGTTTCTTTCAATTCTGAAAAGCCATTTAAGTCAATATAAATCAATTGACAATAACAATCTATAAATAAATGTAATTTATTCCAGGATGCTTTAAGAAATCATAATAATAATCATAATATATCTCGAAAGCATGCAGCAAAAAGTCAAATTGAAAAAGATTCTTACCAAATAAACAGAAATATTTCGCTTAATAATTGTGATGGCTTAATGACTGCAGAGAAATAACGTTGGCAATAGTTAAACCTGAATATCAGTTTAGCTCAAACTATGGAATCATTATTTTTCCTATTACCTAAGTGCATTCGTTTTCTTCCTTTGTGGTGAGGTATAAGTACTGGTTTCAGTTTTCCTAGGCCAGAGTGGATAAGAGATTCTATTCGATAGGCAATCGGATCATACGGGTGGAATATATTGAAGAAATGTGAACAAGTCGGTAGAGCAAAATTCTCTCCTAACGTGTCCAGACCTCGAATTATGATAAACATTCCTGCAAATAAAAACGTAATTATTCAACAGAATTAGGCCAGATTCACATTTATTTATTGATTACTGAATCATATATGACGACACTGGGTTACTGGATGAAGATACAGCTTTTAATCGAAATTATAGTTATGGTAGTAGTAAGCAAAATATTATCAAAACGGAACCAAATTTTACCTATTGGAGATCCCAGAGCAAAAAACATCTTAGGCTCGAAATTCAAATGTGGATAGAATATTTGTGGCTGCCCTGTACCGGTTGAACCCATCATGTAGCTGATTCGTCTACTCATTTTTCGTCTAGCAGGTGGAGGCGGTTTTGAAACCTTCGTAGGAAATTCATCATCTTCTAGAAGTAAAAAAATGATTTTTCTAATAACCTTAGATCCTTTTTCATTGACTTAATAGTAATTTCTTTCAAAACATGAATGTTTTCATAGTTTTTTCTTCCGTCAATGCGGCAATGTTCAAAGATATCTATTTCGCTCTTCTGATCTTACTTAATAGTAGTAAACCAATAGTAGTAGAAGATATGAATTATAAATGGCATTCACCCATCTGTTTAGTGGATTAAATCAGTTGTATATCAAATTTAGTATGTTAAAAAATATAACGTGAGTGGGTTGGCTAAAAAATTCCTGGCGAGAATTAAATAAAATCAAAATAAACATGATTTCAGACACAAAAAAAGACTAGAGATCCCTATGTATAAAACAACTTTATTTCGTAGTTCATACACTTACAATGCTATCCTGATTTATAACGAATTAGATGACAATATAAAGGATTGGCCAGTAAACAGATTTCGTAAGCATGTGAAACAGATTTATTTGTCATTGTAGTAATTGTGGAAAAGTTAGTTTTTAATTCTTACATTTAATTTTATTTTACGTAATATATGTGTGTATATATGTATGCTAGGAAGCTATCAAGCTCGTTGTTTTGAAGCGACTTTTGCTTGTCAAAGTTTCCTTTGATTGAGTGTTTAATTTAGTATTTGGGTAGGTTAAGTAGAGTAGCCAAGAGCTAGACTTCGCCTACGTAGAGGTCACATTATGTTGTAGTGTATATAATGTGCCTAATAAAGACATTTTATTATTATTATTATTATCATTTTGGGAAAATTCCATTCCTTTCTCGAGAAATATTCAGAATTGCGAAACTCTTCATGTAACATTTATTATGTATTTTCTGCAAACTGCAAAGCAGGCACTGTTTTATAACAGATGGTATAGTAACCAACAAAATCGAGTGATGTTTCAGCTAGCTTCAACCTCATTGTACTTAAAGTTATTTTCTTTACGAAAAGCTAACTTCAATGAACAATTTTTGGGAGTTTTCTCACTAAAATCAATTAAGAAATCGCTTAAAAATGTACCTACTATTTGACAACACATGAGAGAGCTCAAACTGTTACAAAATTATTATTTTGTTTAATAAAACATAATTTTTCGATTTTTAATTAATCATAGTTCCGCCTGGAATTTTTACATGCAGGATACAGTCAACAGACAGCTTGCTGTTTTCATTTTGGCAATGATCGACTTAGGTAACAGATGGCACTTTGTGCTGTCTTATTTCGATATACCTTATATTCAAATTCAAAATATTTTTTCGTCACGAATAAAAATTACAAACAAAGAAAATTCTACAATATTGAACAATAACGAAAAAGGACAGTCACTCGATTATGAAACCGAGAGTCCATGCGAGAAAGCCCTGAAAACCCTACAAATCCTTAATCCCTTCTAATTAATTGAAAACTTAAAAAATATAATGTAGTTATAATATACAGGGGGTTAGGGAAATAATATTCGTAACTTTAAGAGGTGATTCCTTGCATTATACTAAACAAAAAAGTTCAACATATGTCCGAAAATCAACCGTTTCGGAACAAAAAAATGCTAAACTTATTTCTTTTTAGTCATGAAATAAATTAATGTTGCACCTTAATAATTTAAATACATATGCCTAATAGCGTAAAATGTATCCATCTATTTTTGCTTATGAAATACAATTTTCCGAACATCGTGTCGGTAGGCAAAAAAATAAATACCTACAACGGGAAAAAATTATTCGATAGTTTCTTGCATACGTTAATGCGAGAAGTTTATTATTCAGTATGTGTTACTGTATCAGTTCGTTCATTTTGATACCAAAGAGATGTTAACGGTACGCGCGTATCACGATATGCATTTGATTTACGGACACGCTCATTGCAATTCTGAAGAGGCTAGGTGCATTTACGAAGAACGTTTTCCTGATCGAAGGCTACCAGCTAGAAGAATATTCGTAGAGGTATCCCAAAGACTTCTGGAAACAGGGAGCGTAGTGCCTAATTTTAACAATCGCGGAAGACATCGTGAAGTTGGAGTGGAAATCGAAGAACAAATTTTGAGTTTAATTGGCGAGGATTCGACACGGAGTACGAGAAGTATTGCTCGTCAAGTCGGTGTCTCACACTGGATTGTACATGAGACCCTTAAATAACAGTTATTGTACCCATATGTCCAGAGGGTTCAAGCTGTTTGGCCTGAAAATTTTCCACGAAGAACAAATTTTTGTAATTGGTTTTTGGGTAAACACCAAACAAATCACAAGTTTGTAGCGAACGTGTTGTCAACAGAGGAGTCTTGTTTTACAAGAAATGGAAGTTGGAATTTTCATAATTGGGCGGACGAAAATCCCCATGCAATTGCACAGAAAAATTCGCAGTATCAATTTTCTGTTAATGTGTGGGCTGGAATAATTGGTGACCAATTAATAGGACCATTTTTCTTGCCCCATCGCTTGAACGGTGAGAGCTACTTAGCCTTTCTAAGAGACAATTTTCCCGTTTTGTTGAAAGAAGTGCCATTGCAAACAAGAATGATTATGTGGTACTTGCACCATGGTGCTCCAGCACACGCTAGTCGAGTAGTTGTGGAACATCTCAATAATACCTATGGGAATAGGTTGATAGGAAGAAATGGTCCAAATGCCTGGCCGGCTAGATCCCCCGATCTTAATCCATTAGATTTTTTCTTCTGGGATTCATGAAAAATTTAGTTTACGCCACTGAAATAAGGGATGAGAATAATTTAAGGAGCGTATTTTGGCCGCCGCTAATGAAATACTTAATATGCCTGGAATTTTTCAACGAGTTAGAGAAAATTGGGTTCGACGATGTCAAGCGATGGTTCCCATTTCGAACATCTATTGTGATTGCTAATGCATTTAACTGTACTTTATGTGATTTACGGATGTTGTTCTTTTTTTCTTTTTTCGTGCATCGCATCATTTCAAATAAGTGACTGATAATCGGGGGAATTGGTGGTGTGTATCGCCACGTACCGGCAAGTTCTGACATATTTTTTAAGTAAATACTGAAAGCGTTAATAATTAAGAAATATTAGCCACAAAAGACTGCGTAAGAGTATTCAATAATTCAAGGCATATTTTCAACAAAAATATCATACAAACGAAAACAATACGATGAATCAGTTGAGGTCGTCATGCGCTCGTATCGCGATTGCGTCGCAGCGTTGCCAAATGTTTGAGAAAATTTAATTATTTACGACTCACTTTCCTCGAAAACGATTGATTTTCGGACATAAGTTATAATGAACTTTTTTGCTTGGAATAATGCAAGGACTCACCAGGGTGTTAGCCTGTATGTATTATCAACTATTACTATAAATGAATATCTATACATATTTCAGTAAATTTATACGATCCCGTTTAAACACTAACTGTACGTTACATTATGAAGATTAAAGAAAAATAAAAAAATAAAGAGGCAAATGAAAAGGAGGCGAGACAAAAAGGCAAAAAACGAAGAAAGAACCCCCGGAACCGGCAACGGACGCGAAGAGCAAATCGATACAACTTGTCAGCGAGTAGAAATATAAAAACGATATTTTTATTCACACAAACGCTGCTGATTCTGTAACAATGTTTTTGTGAGTTGCGAGAATAATTTTGGCGATGAGCTTTTAACTGAAGTTCGTAAATCATTGCATAAGTGAACCGCCTTATAAGCAAACGATCTTGGAAGGAACGCGTTCTATGCCTATGTACGATAACATTTAAATTATTTCTGCTCCCCTGGGCACGAGGCAAATGCACAAATATTTCTCTTAAATAGGCCGGTTGACCTCTTTTTATAACCCTATAGATAAAAGAATACATATGATGTCTTCTGGGATTCGTTCATATGTTGTAGTTATTCAAATAAGGTGTGATACGGTTTCGGTATAGATGTTTTTTTAATTTGTAAATATTTCATAATTGCATGTGAGCTATATTCATTCTGTTTTTTATGTGACTTCTGAAGTCAAGCGAGCTATCAAATATGATACTTAGATTTTTTGTCTCTTGATCAATGGAGATTCTGTCACTGTTAATAGAAATTACTAAATTTTGTCCAAAATGTTCTCTTTCAGTTTCTGTTTTTATTCATTACTATTACTTTCGATTTTGAGGGGTTTAGTTTAAGATTATGATACTTCGCAAATCTGTCGATACTCTAAAGATCTGAATTTAATTGTTGTTGTACAATATTGTGTTTTTATTGAAAGGCATTTATATTTGTGTCATCTGCATAGTGTTTTACCTTTGCGAATTTTACCGATTTGAACATGTTAGATGAATATTATGAACATAGGATACTTGCTCAGTTTTCGTTCGTTGTTCTACCTAAGGCCAAGCCTAGACTTTGCTGCTATATATTTTTTTATACTTGGACCACCACGAAGGCCTAAGGCCCAAACACCCATGGGTACCGTGGGGCTATAGGGGGACACAGGGGAAAGGAGGAACGCCACTCTAGCAAGGGAACACGTGTGCATGCAAAGTGCACAAATTCTGGCCCCGCCTTAGAGATCCGCCGAGTGGTACCTCCGCGTTCGACTTTCAGATAATTCTCTTGGGACACTTCCAATAAACAGCTTGCTGTATTCACTATCGCAATGGTCTATTCTGGTAACAGATGGCACTTTGTGCTGTCTTATTTCGATATTTTTAAAGTGCTAAATTGTATATAAAATACTTGTCCCCTCTAGGGGTGAAGGTCGTTTCGAATTCGGATCTTAGACTAACATAATAATGACAGGTCAATAATAATTCCCCCGTGTATTGGTGTTAAAAAATAGTAAAAAGGCCCAACACAATTCACATACCCGGTAGTTCTTCCTCAACTTCCTCTTTCTTATGCTGGTGAGCCAACAGATCAAATAATATCAACGATCCTAAGCTGTGACCTCCAAGAGAAACGCCTCCTTTAAAGTCAGGATTTCTCTGCTTATATAAATCGTATATCTTATTCAGTTCCGTTGCTACGGATGAAATGATCTGTTGGCAGTAGATCGGGCTCGTATAGAACAAGATGTCTAGCAGCGTGTCGTTCGTGAAATCTCTTAGCTTTGGTATGCTTTCTAAGGTTATGCTTTTCAGTTGACTGTCTATCCCAGTTTCTTCAGAGTGAAGTTTGGCATGCCAACCGATTGGCAGGACTTCGACTCTGTGAACAACGCCTTTTTCACAGGATGATTTGTAGTGTGACCTTACAAGTTGAAGTGCAATTGCCCTGAATTCGTCAACTAGAAAAAAAAATCAAAGAATTAGAATAAAATTCAGATCAACAATATGCCATTTTTTTAATGGGAAAACCTTCCAACATGTGATCAAATAATATAATTGTTGCACAAATTCCACAATAAAACAGTGGATAAGTCGCAACGGGTCTAAAGATGCTTTTCAAATAAAAGTGAAAAGTATTACAACTTCTGTGTTTTATTGTGAAACTTGTACAACGAATTGTATTATTCAATCGGATATTATCCTATTTTTAAGACAAACGCTTTTTTGTGGCTTCACATGTTATGTGCGCAGAAATCTAAACAAATATCAAACTTCTGTAGAAATACACCCCCATGCACTACGTAATGTTAATTACCTAAGGAATACATACGAATTATTTAATTTATTCGTCAATGCAAAAACATATATAATACACAAAATGTGTTCAATAAGTGGTATAGTATGGTATCTTTTTGAACTACTTATTATTATGTGAAGTTGACTATCGTACATCATTTTATAGGACTTACCAGTTTCTTCTACAGACTTGAATTTCAAATCACATACAGCTCCAATTCCATGTATCATAAACAAGATATGATCGGCATTAGCTGATTCACCTTCATCGATGTCAAATTCGTCCATCCCTCGTTTTACAATCCGTGGCCGGGTCTGACTCTTGAGGAAAGAAACACTAATTATGGATCTAGCGGAGATATCTATTTACAGTCGGGAACAAAAATGTTAGATTTTAAAAGTTCAATCATGCGGTAATGTAAATTAAAGTTATGTAGAATCCAAAACACAGTAAAAAGCGCAAACAAATTTACCAGAAACGTAAGGATGAATGGCGTTCAACCAGTTTCAGGAACACTGAGGACGTATAATAAGGGACCCTGCTTGAGTCTGGGATAAATAAATTAAGAATTGTAACGGGAACATTAATGCACAGAAAACCGTACTCGTGATAATAGGTAAGAAATAAACTCATAAACATCAGGTTGAATTAGCGCAAAAATTGTTTAAACACCCAGGTTCAATAAATGAATACCCATGGCGATATTGGAACCGAAACCGATTAAATGATACAAAATGTAAGCAAACTGTACTGCTTATTGCATGCTTCAGACTTGGGCACAGTGCAGACCTACGGGGATAGTGTTTTGTCAAGAGCCCAGGTTTTTCAGTGGTTTAAGGCATTTCTAGAAGGAAGGGAGTAGAGTGAAGATGAACCTCGCAGCGGAAGGCCTTCATCTTCAGGAGCCGATGAAAACATCGACAGAATCCGGGATCTTATACGTTCAGATAGTCGGTTGACAGAATAATCGGAGAAAAAAATTTGACCACATCACCGTTCATCAGATCAAGAACAATTGGGTGTTGCATCACGATAACGCTCCTTGTCACACTGCAATGTCAATAAACCGGTTTTTGACCAGTAAAACCATTCCTGTGGTTCCTCGCCACGCAATTATTTTGATTCGTCTACATCGACGGTAAAAATATTTTTTCAGTAACACCACCCAAGTGTGATTATATATTACAAAAATTTTACTCCATGATCTTGCTTTTTAATGGGAACAAAGGGATCGTGATAACTCCCAGGTCGTTATGTTATTAGAATAGTTTCACTCACCGATGTATTACCCCAGGCATCTGGTGAAGAAGAACGAGGGAACAGGACCAACACGTCAGGTCCATGGAATACTACCACCTCTCCATTTGCTAATTCTACACGTTTATGCCAACTCTTCGAAAGGAATGCTTGCTTGTACTCTTCTTCTAATCTAGTAGCTACATTTTCTTCATAAGGCACTAACCTAGAAACATATCATCAAATTAAAACTATATCCCCTATAACAATCGAATCAGTAACTTCAAAAGCCTCGTAAGCCAGACAATCTGAATTTTTCAGGAGACAATAAAAAATAAACCAGTTTTAAAGTACTTTGAGGTTTAGAAGATTGCAATTCCGACTAATCACAACAGTTGGTTTATAATAATAATGGAAAATGCCCGAAACACTGTTCTGTACTTAACGTGGCTTGAGTAGGAAATAAGGTTTTATTGCTTATTAATATGTCACATATTTTAATAATCAACATTTGAAAAAAATTAAGGTACATAGGGGAAACCCTGGCAAAGCAAACACCCTTGAAAAATTTAATTTCCCCTTTGACACCGAAACCATGAATCGACCATCGTGAATAAGTACATGAACCTATTCATTTTTCAACAATCAGTAATGGTTTGTAGAAGAACCTACGTATTTATATGACTACTAGACAAGCACCCAAAATTTTAAGATACCTAGGATCTGGGCCTAATAGATATTGCTGATTTGTTTTACCTTCCATTTGGACTATCCTTATGGAACCACGAACATCTTCTAACTTCGTTTGGATTCCCTTTCCAGTATACAGGTATCCGTTGACGGCGCAAAATATTCACATCATATCGTCCACCATCAGTAGCAATGACTTTTTCGGGATCTAGGTCATCTAAAAATGAGAAAGTCAGATATGACTTAAATTATTGATAAGAGCAATAGCACAATGTAATATCATTAAACTTTCATGCTTCTTCTACAATTTTGCAAGAGAGTTCATGGAATTTTAAAAACCTTACTTGACGTATACGAGTTTTCCAAGGCAAGCGAATCTACCATAGAAAAACAATGCCATATTTTCTTGCCCTCAGATTCCTTTTGAAAGAACCAATGGTGGTAAACTGGTCTGTACGTTTGGTGATTTGAATTCTGAAATATATGAAAAATAATGTTTAAGTAATATTCATTACAGGCATTTCAATTCTATGAAGTTTTACTCAGATCCATAAAATCTAAATGTAAGAAGAAAGGAAAAAGAGTAAAAGAAGGGGAAGGAAAATGGAAAAAGAACAAGAAAAGGGTTTTTTGGTATAGGCAGAGATTATAGATATTATTGAAATGATTTTACAATTTCGGTATGGCGAAGAATTTTCAAAAAATACTCACACTATTATCTGTTGCGGTGTTTCCTAAGGAGCCGTTCACTCCCGTCCCATACTGATCCATATCGTTCATGTTGGCTGCCTGCAGCAGCTCACTTGGCGGTATTGCGTCCATCACTAGACCGCTGACATGCTTCGAGGTTTCAGGTACAAAAAAATGGTGGTGTTGAAAATGACTGGAGGTGTGAGGTCCAGACAACGTTTGAGTATAGGGCGGGATAAAACTAGTTTGAGATTGAGTAATAGATGTCTCAGAAGCAAAGCTAGCTTGCTGAGTTGGAGGTACAGTATTATTTGGAGGTTGAGATAAAAATGGATTAGAGTTCAACTCAGGAAGCGGGGATGCAGGAATAGATATATTCGAGGTTGGAGGTGTGATAGGCTTGCAGAAATTGGTAGCAGATAGTTCCTTGCCTGTGCTGATTGATGAGACTGAATTGGCTGGTGAATGAGACGATGGATAGCTGAGCGATTGACTTGCAACGGGGAATGTTTGAGTTGAGGGCTCTGCAGGACTGAATACGTTATGCGGATTTGTTGGAGGTTGTTGCGGTGGCGTTGTTATTAACCCACTGGTTAAGCCGGGGATCGGAGCATACACTGGTCTCTTCAAGCCTAGTCGACGAAATGCATTCTTTGGACCTGAAATGATCACAAGAAGTTAAACGTAATAACCTCAGAGAAGATCATTTTTATGACTATTCCAACAGGTATAGATTAAGAAAGTATTAATTTCGAAAAAAAAAATTGAGTAATGTGACACTTTTCGAATTATACCTTTTTTGTTCCTGAATGTACATGCATCCAAAATCCACAAAATACCCTTCAAGCCATAACAACCTTGTTGAACCAATGTAAAGGTACTAAACCAAAATTACCTTTTTTCACAGAGGGGAACGGTTTTATATCCATACAGGTAGAAAAGTTCGTTCGATAGATTCTTTCTATCAGCATTTACTGCGAAAAGGCTGAGATTCTATAAAAACGACACACTCACTAAAGCCTCTCAGTCGTTCGCTATGCATCCCATCGCGAAGAGTATTTGTCTCGGCCCGTTATATCTCTACATGTATGTATGTGCATACATGTAGATACCAAGCAGACCGAGAAAATTACGTATTATTTAATAATTTTGATTTTAAAATGTTTGGAAATAATAGTCCTAAGGACCTCAAATCAGTTGCTGCAGCAAAATTGGATTGCACATTTGCTTTCATATCATATACTGGAAACTAGGTTTTTATTGACTTTCGAGCCCATTATTTCAAAAACAAAACTAGATCAATTCTGTTAATTTTTTTTCAATAACGTTCTATACAGTTATTTCCAATTGTAATAATATGGAAAAATAACACAAACTTCAAGCACGTACAACCTTATTACGCATCTATTGATGATTTTTATTGAACCAGTTATACTGATTATATGAAGAAGTAAAACAATTTCTTTAAATACCACATATATTTATCTGTAACTGAGAGGAAAACAGAAGTTTTGAGTAATGAGCAAAAGAAGTAAACATTTCAGCAAAGTTTAAATGCAAATATTAGATTTTCAAAATTGAAATAGTGACTACCAACATTATGTTGCTCATGATTGTTATAATATAAAGCTAAACTAGTGCATTTTAATAGTAACATAAGCTCAAAACTGCTTCAATTTCGACTTACGACTGTTTACCTTTGAGCTACAGTTATATACTTCCATATTCCACTTATGGAGGCTGGCAGAAAAGTAAGTTAACACAAAGTACTACTGTTGTAATAGAGCATGAAAGGTCAGCTTTGAACCCTCTTGCTCGTGAACTACCCGTGTAACAACTTTGAGCCTAGTGACACGAAACATACAAACTTTAAAACAAGTGAATTCACGAGTCATCACGCAAACTCATCTATCAAAATGTAAATTGATGAATTGACAGAAACATTGCTGCAAGATGTGACAATACCTTATTTATTAATATTTCTCTTTACGTGAGTGAGGCTGCACATAGCATGAGTTTAAGTGATAGCTTATGAATTTTCGTTATAGCTGAGAATTCACCAGACGTGACATTAATGTGTTTCCACCTCAACAATCTTACAACATTCTGAGGGGTCATTCTCAAATAATTTTAAACAGCTTTTCAGTCGATCGTGTTTAGCAAGAGTAATATGACCATGTATATTATGAAACTATGATACAGTCAGTGTAAAATGTGAAACTGTTCTTGTCTTGCTGATGGATGACCATATTTCACTGGCCGCCAAATAGAACCAGAGAAACGTTTCAGCCAATTTACAGTACAATTTTTTGGAATTCGAAATCTCATTCATTTGACTGTCGATTTTCGTTGGTCTATACATTGTTTTTTTGTATACCGAAGTAGCCGCGCAGGCAGAAGCCTAAATGCCGACACACCGCGGCTGCTATGAGGATCCCAAAGAAACTCTGTTAATAAGATTTTTTAACTGTCTAAGGTTAGTAGAACTGGGAAAAGCTTCCTCTTGTAGATTGTTCCACAATCTCGACACCCCCGGGACAAAGGAGCGGTCGTATCGGCCAGTTCTGGATGTACGAAGTTCGACATTGCTAAGATGGGATGCCAAAGTCAGGCATGTCCATCAGGCAGGCACATAGCGCGGCGGCATCATGGAAGCGAAGCCCGTTGGTGTAGCTGTAGAAGAGAGCTAGATGCGAAAGTATCCCGAGATTGTCTGCTGAGAGAAGAGTCATCGATTCCTCTGGACATCATCGACCATAAATAATGTAGTCGGGGCGGTAGCACCGTAAACGTGTGAGCAATACTCTAGGCTCATACGGTCATACGGAGAAAAGTACTCCTTAGCACTAAACAAATAACCTCGCTTTTTTCAGCAGCTGCCGCTACTGACGAGATGTGTTCGTGCCAGATCAAGTCCTCGGTGATGTGGCATTAAACTGTACAAGATTGTTGGGTCCCCAAGCAGTGATAACCTCCAGGTCTCTCGTCAGAGAAATATAGCCAGCCACCCATCTGCAAAGATTTTCTGGGAGGCCATAAGATGGAAGTTTGCATAAGAGGGCCGCGTGCCACAGCTGATCGAACGCTTTCGTGATATCAAGAGCAACGACATGAGCCTCACCATAAGACTGGACACAATTGCATGCCGTAAGGTAGGAGGTCCCCTGTGGATCGCTGATGCCGGAAACCATACTGCCTGTCGATAATCAAGCCGTGATGTTCGAGATAGTCCAGAAGCTCACGATTTATGCATCTCTCCATCACCTTACTTATAACAGAAAGCAGAGCTATAGGCCTGTAGTTGTAAGGGTCGGTCTTAGATCCTCTTTTTGGGATAGGTTGGACATGAGCAAATTTCCAGTTTTCTGGGAAGGTGCCGGATTCATAAGACATCTGGAAGAGATGCCAAAGAACTGGAACAAGCTCCGCTCAACACCTCTTCAGTACAATGACAGGAATCAAGTCTGGACCAGAAGCTTTGTCGATGTCGAGCGACAAGAGCGCCCATCTTACGGTCTTATGCCTGAATGTTACTTCGCGCACAGTGTAGGGAACCCTTTGAATCGACGACACTTGGGCGTTGGGGGGGGGGGGACGTCCATGGTGGAGTTGGCAGCAAAGATCTTGGCTAGCACTTCCGCCTTGGCCTTTGAGTCGATTAGAATCGTTCCATCCTGACACGTATAGTAAGTGGTGGAATGCTAGTGAGTGAGAAGTTCTTTTCAATCTGCTTAGCCAGCATCCAGAAAGACCGACTGCCAATGCGCTGCGACATTATCCTGTGCCTCTCTTTTATGTCATGCTGGTTTTTGGCATTGGGAACCCCTTCGTTATATTTGTTTCTGGACTCGACGTCGGCTTGTCTATTCTCTCCAGTGGGGTTTTGTAAGAAAGTTCTGTGTGACTTCATCTTCTGCTGGCGAGCAGTGTCACACGATTTGTGGAACCAGCCGTTGGACGCTGGTTTAGGCACTTTTACTGTATGAGGGATATATTCCTCCATTCCGACGTGGATAATTTTGGTTATCGAAGAACAGACAGCCGACGCATCCGCGTCAACGAAACAGACATCTCTCCAAGGAAAGATAGAGAAGAAGTCTCTGAGCCCCTCTCAATCGGCATGCCCGTAATGCCAAATTTTGCGGCTTGGGCGAGTTTCTGATGCCACAGCAGGTTCTCACCGAAACCTAACCTCACAACACCGTGGTCAGAGTTACCCAGGAGGATGTACAGCAGTGGTGTAAGGGACCGTATGCGTGGTCAGAAAGAAATCCAGCAGGCTACTGGCATATGACGAGACGCAAGTGAAAAAAGTAGGGCTCGTCACCAGCTGGGTCAGCCCTTGAGTAGGAGCGGACTCTTCAACTGCACGACCTACTGCATCGGTCTTGTTTGAGCCCAACCAAAGCTCATTATGGGCATTTAAATAACCGAGGATAACTACCTCTGAAGTGGGGTGATTGATGTTCAAGAAATCGATCTTGACGACGAGGTAGTCAAGTAGGTCATCCCAGTTATGGTCCGAGGGCAGCAAACAAATTTGGAGGATGTTTGGGAGTTGAGGCGAAGCCACAGAATGCCCTTCCGATCTGATTCCAAAGAAACATCTCTGGAGCAGTAAAGACTGCTGCGGACAAAAGCCACAACTCCCCCCGTTCTTTCTCAGATTGGAGTACACCGCGTAATTTGGGAAGCTAAGATGGTTAATCGGTGCAGACTCTGAGATTTTTGTCTCCGCCAAGAAAAGCATGGCGGGATGATTGGACTGCAAGTAGTGATGAACAGCATCAATGTTGCTGTTAATCCCGCAGATTTTCGTGAAACAAATTTTATCTTCGATCTTGTTTCCTAGAGTTCACCCTCCACCCAGACATGAGAGCGGAGAGAGTTTACGTCCGGAATTCTTAGTACTCGAAGGATCCATATCATTATTTTCTTTGTTGGGGAAGATAACCGACTGCGTAGCTTAGGTGTGGAAACATGCGGACATTTATAAGACACCTGGGAAAAGCTAGTGGTACCGCCTCGGTCGACTGGTCCTTGTCTACCACCTTCTTTGTGCGTGTTAATGACGTTAAGTAGACCTAAAGAAGCCCGTTGGCGGACTTGTACCGCCACCCGGCAATCGGTACTGAGGTATTCCTTAACGCGTGTATAATCACTTGGACGGGAAGAAGTTGTATACTGGATACAACAACTTCCGGAACAAGCATTTGCCCCGGTCTCGCTCAGTAGGGTGTGTTTTCTAAGGCAACAATTGAAATTACGCAGATGATCAGATAATCAAATTGACGAATATGTACCTGTTGTAGGTGGGATACTCTGCTGACTGACAACAGGAGCATTGGTAGGGAACAACGGCACCGGTTCAGGATGAGCGTTCTCCTGCCCGATCAAATTATCTAGGCCAGCTGGGGGAGGTGCAACAAACTCTTCTTTAGCTTGGTTATTGTTACTACCACCACCTAAGTTCAAGATGCTGCCGAATGAAGAAAGCACTGAAGAAAAGTTTGAAGACGATTGTTGCTGCTGAGGATGTGTCAAATGAGGCTGAAGAGAGGAAATATCTGGTAGAAATGGTGTCTCCTGAGCCTGCGAATGGTATTCTCGTGTATGCTCTTGTTCAGGTTCAAGAGCAGAATTGTTGTTTGGAATGATCTCGTTCAACAGTTGTTCTGAAAAAGAGATTTTCACTTTATACTCGTATAAGGGTTTTAAAAGAATTAAAATGGAGAAAAACTTACATAAAAATCATACCAATGTCTAACCTTCAACGAAAACTGGTTCTCTCGTCTGACTTTGATACTATGGATGTATTCGGAAAACTTGGTTGGTAATTGACCATTTTTTAATGGTATTATTTTTATAATAACTCTGCTGTTATTGTTTTTTTAATTATAACGGAGGAGGGCCAGTTTTCACTAATAACAAAAAGTGGCATTTTATGGCTTGTCGACAAAAAAAAAGGTTAGGACTGATGTTGAATGATAATTTATATATTTATATTGAATTTATTGATATAACGAGCACTACTTACTATTACGCCTACATTTTTTCATAAAACGTGTTTTACACTAAGAAAAGAACAACTAGCATGTTCAAGGCTGGTTCAATTTTGGAACCCAATTTTTTACCGTTGTCAGCCCAGCTTAGTATACAAAGTCTCTAAAGTGATGAGGTCCAGTGATAGCGATATAATAGAGACCAGATATTCATTTACAAATGAGGAGCAACTTATCAAAACGCATTATGTCCACTTGAGGTGAAAAGTCGGTTTGTTACGGTTTTGGATCTATCTCTTCTAGTCACCAGAAGCTCATTTGAATGACATCGTGCAAATTACATACTTTTTGAAAAGCCGTTATAAGTCGTTCGAGTTGAGAACACCTGTTAACGTGTTTGTTTTGTTGTTTGGTTTTGCAGCAAAAATTTAATAATTTGCTAATAATCCTAAAACCGTACAAGAGCCATCTGACGTCCCACTTGTGAATTCAAGCACAGAAGAGAAACGTAATGATGTTACAAAACTGCTCCAAGCAAGATTTAGGGTCGACTGGGAAGATGGAATTCCGTTATTATCGTTAACTTTCTTCAATGATGCTTTGAATATTGCACCAGTAAGAGCCCAAAGTGATGACGAGGAACAAAACTTCTACGATTTCCTAGAGGAAGAGCAAGTTGACGCTCTCTAATTGAGACTTTTGATTTGAAAGCACTGTGTTTAAGTATTGTTGCAGTAAAGTTATTTTTTGTATCCCGGTTTTATGTGTTTTATTGTGAAGTAAATGAAAAGCAACTCATTTGGGTTCTGCCTTTTTTATTCGTTATTACATGTTTGAAACATAGATCATTATGTTCAATGTCGGCCACAACGAAACGTATTATATACACAGTTGTGGATCAAAACGCAATATGTCCAACTATTTATTGACCTTTTTCTACAATGAATAATAGTTATGATTTCAATGAGAATGATTATTAGAATAATCGGCCTATATCTATGAAAATACCTTGCTATGCAGGTTTAAAACGATCTAGCTGAGTGTGATGTGCCGGAATATTATTATAACATATTATAAAGAAAACAATTTTTTGGAATTACTTGGCACACAGTCATTCTTCTTTCGTTCATACTACAGGCTCAAAGTCAGAGTGATTATGATTTTTCTTAAAAATGTATACTTTAGTATAATATTTTTAAATTGGTCCCTCTCCATTTTAAGTAAAAAATCAGGTTGTTAGAGTTGGAATACTCAATTGTGAGTGGCCAGATCAAGACGACTTCAATCACAAACATTCAATATTCAGAAAGATGGATCTTTCGCCTCGGCTCTATTCCATTGCGAGAAAGATCACTGGACATAAATCCACGGTAACAAAAATGTGTGTTCCAAAATCGAAACATCCTCGAGCATGCTAGTGGTTATTATGTTTTATGAAAAAACTTATGACATCTATAACAGTAAGAAGGTACTTATAACATTCATACATTAAATATGAATTATCCTTCAACATCAGTACTGTCCCTTTTGGTCTCCAAGCCATAATATGTCATTTTTTGATATTTGCGAAAACCATTATAACTGTAATTAGAAGAAAAGAACAAAACGTAGGAATGGGTTTTCATTAACGTTTAGACTTTGGCATGTCTTTTATGTGAGTTTAACGTTATTTTATGAAAAATAATACTGGGAGGGATCAAATGTTCTAAAATATACTCAATGACATTAAAAGTGATACACCCAGAAAACATAATTTCCCCAACTTGTTTTTTTGACAATTAAGAATGAAACTATAACATTCTCACGAAATTTTATTGACAAGAAACAAAATTAATGTGTTGTGCAACCCCGCAGCTGAATACACTCCTGTATCCGTCTAGACATGGACAAAATGTGAACGATGTCTGGTTGTGGCCCATAATTCCAGGCAACTCACACTTCGTGGATTAGCTGTGGCAGAGTCAGAGTTCGATGAGATTTAAATCCGGTGCACGGAGTGGCCACGGCGAAACTTAAACGCCAGCTTCTTGAAGAAAGTCCGTAGTACGACGAGAAAATATGGAGACGTACGTTGTCTTGCTGGAAAAGGACGTGTGGGTGGCCCTCTAGATACGGCAGTATAGTGGTTTGTTGGACAGGATCAACATAACGCGCAGCAGTCAGATTGCTTTTAACAAAGAGAAGGGGTGATCGGCTACCATAGGCAACAGCCCTCCAAACCATTACTCCAACAGTCCTGTCTACATGCCTCTCAACAACAAATCTGATATCTCGCCGTACTCCACGGCGTTCTCTGTTAAAGTTCAAACGTTGACGACAGTGGTCCGCAGTCAGAAGAAGCACTAACCGTGGACGGTATGAAAAAAGTCCAAAGGCTCGAATACGGCGATAGAGAGTACGCATAGTAATTCTTCTCCAAACCATTGGTCAGCGATCTCACGCGTAGTAGCAAAACGGTCTTGTAGGGCTAGTTATCTGAAGCGCCTATCTTGACACAGTGGTACGCCTCGGTGGACCAGTTAGCCTTCTTCGTGTTCCTCTTCTTCTGTCCACACACGACACACACGCATTACCGTCATTACAGTACAATTAACACAGCGGCCAATTTTCGCGATAGGATAAACCAACATCTCGATAGGCAATAATTCTACATCTGTCGCTAACATGGTGATAATTTGGACGTCTTCGAACACGAGGCATTTTGTTATGCTTAACACTAGTAAATGAAAGGGCAATAACTAAAAACATATGTACTAGTCAACTCTCAAAAACTGCTTTGTTCACAAAAACTAAGAGAACATTTTAACAAGGCTAAACAAAAACAAAGATAAAACGTTGACAAATATAGTCATTAAGTTGCCCAAAAAACAAGTTGAAGAAATAATTATTATTTCTGGGGTAACACTTCTAATGTCACCGAGTATAAATCTGGTCCAACAAAAGTCGACAGTTGTAAAAATGTCATTAGATTAACTCAACGCAAACCAGTTTTTCAATATACAAATCAAATGCTGAAAATCTCAAGAACTATAAGACTTGTAATAAAACAAAATGTTGCCATTAATTAGATCATGATCTGACAGATTTGCAGCTGCAGGATTATCGTTGAATTTCTTCTCTTGCATCTCTTATCTAATGATATAGCCATATCCAAAAAGAAATTTTTGGGTCAGCATGATTTCATCCATTCTTAAAAAAAACCTAGGCGCAGACTGTGAATTAGAGATCAGATGTTTTATTTGTTTCGGTTTGGAAATAGAGAGGAAGTAAAATGCTGGAACAGTATGTCCTTAGGGCATAATTTCTGCACAAAGAAATATACGTATTCATACAAAAAATAATAATTCGTCAATTTTTATCGGCATATTTGTAGGATCAAGTATTTGTAATTTGATATCATTTTTTTTTGGTTGGGCGTTGTTACTCTTTTCGAACAATATGGCTACATAACTTTGAAATGGAATTTTCATTGTACAAGTTTATCCACAACTGAACCTAAACCTTGTCGTTTCACAATGACGTAAAGTATGATTTAACTGTGAATTTCTGATTTTACATGCACGTTTGTCAATCGACGAAATGATAAACACATACCAGAAACCTTGATCTCAATAGAGGACACATATTTGTATACCTATTTCAATTTTCACGTAAACAATATTTTTATACTTACTCTACATATACAGGGTGGCGCATCGAAAACGAAACAGACGCATTTACTGACAACTCAGTTTTTTTTTAAAAACGCTCAGACCCGTCGATTTTGTTTTCGAGGGGGACACAAGTTTGGCAAAAAATCACGTTAGCACGTGCAGCCCCCTAAGCGGGGGTGACACCACCCCCAAAATCTTAAATGTAAAGGAGGGTCGAGTGATACCTTATTTTAAAGGTCTTTCAATTCCCTTTATAACGATATAAAATTAATGTACTTCAGTTCAGTAGTTTTGAAGATTTATTGATTTAAAGCTTAAATATAACTAATACATCATCATTAGTGGAGATCAATATATTTGGCAGCAAAGTAATTTAAAAATGAAGAATGAACTGACCCGTTAGGCAAGTAAATGTTGAAAATGGCCACCATGACTCTCCATGCAATAATAAAGATTTTGCTCAAAACGTTGCCGCACATTTTGCAATATTTGAGGAGTAATTTGAAGGCACTCATTTACAATTCTTTGTCGTAGGTCTTCTAATGATGTTGGCTGAGTAGCATAGATTTTGCTTTTTAAATGACCCCACATAAAGAAATCCAAAGGTGATAAATCTGGCATTCTTGGGGGCCATTCAATGGCACATCCTCTACCAATCCATCGATCTGGAAACGTCTGATCTAAATATTGTCGAACAAGTAATGCGTAATGTGGTGGGGCACCATCCTGTTGGAACATCAACCTATTGGCAATGTACCGCCGATCATTCTGATTTTCAATTATGGCTGTGAGTGCAGGATCTATGGCGTCTTCCAGTAATTCCAAATATATTTCACCGGTCAAATTTCCAGGTAAAAAAAAAGGACCAACTAAATGATCGCCAAAAATACCAGCCCAAACATTTAATTTTTGTGGCAGCTGTGTATGAACCTCATGATAAATTCTGGGATTAGAATCGGACCAATATAGGCAGTGTTGACGATTTACTACGCCATTTAAGAAAAAGAAACATTCGTCGGT